CCTCATCATCTCTGACCTACACTCACTCCAGTTTAGGCAGCTCCTTTTCTGTAAGGTTACGATGGTTTTCAGATCCCACCATTGCCTCACCCCTCATCTTCCCCAGCCCTACAACCCTACAAGATTTCTGCCTTCCTCCAAATCTGGTCTCCCGAGCCTTCCAATTTTAATCACTCTCCTACCAGGGGCTGTGCCTTCAGCTGCTGAACTCCCAAGCTCCAGAACTCTAAACCTCTGCACATCTCATAGAGTCACAGAGTTCTGCAGCACAGAAACAGACCCTTCTGTCCAACTCGTCAGAGCCAACCTGATGTCCTAAATTAATCTAGTCCTATTTTCCCACATTTGGCCCATATTCCTCTAAATCCTTCCTATTCATGTTCCCATCCAGACGCTTTTAAATGTTGTAATTGTACCAGCCTCCACCACTTCCTCTGGCAGCTCATTCCATACACGCACCACCCTCTGCGTGAAACAGTTACCTCTTAGGTCCCTTTTATATCTTTTCCCTCTCACCTTAAACCTATGCCCCTCTAGGTTTGGACTCCCCCACCCTGGGGTAAAGACCTTGACTATTCACCCTATCCATCCCCCTCATGATTTTATAAACCTCTATAAGGTCACCCCTCAGCCTCCGACGCTCCAGGGAAAATAGCCCCAGCCTATTTCAGCCTCTCCCTAAAGCTCAAACCCTCCAAACCCAGCAACATCCTTGTAAATTTTTCTGGCCTCTCTTTCCTTCTTTAAGGTAGTCCTTAAAGCCTGCCTCAGTAACAAAACCTTTGGCCATCTGCCCATAACGTCTCTCCCTGTGGCTCAGTGATAAATTTTGTTGGATAACATCCTTTGAGCACTTCAGGGCATTTTACTAACTTCAAATGCTTCATAAAATACGATTGCTGTCCTAATTTGCTGGGTTAAGGGAAAAGGATTAGGATGCGGGACTAAATTGGACTGTTCGTTCTAAGAGCTAGCATAGCTTGGATGGGTCAAATGGTCAGTTCCTGTGTCTAATTGTGCTCCTTTAAAGTATGGTAAATGTAACTTTAACCTCAATAATGTTTGGGTTTGCTCCATAGTTGCAGGTCAAACTTTGTGCGTCAGCTGTAACTTTGGTTGCAGCAAATACCTTATGAAAAGTTATGCAGTTGTTATTGCAACTATTGCCTAACTGTGGGAGTGTGTGTGCTTTATGGACCTATTGGGTCAACAGCACTTCTGCACAGTTGAAGCAACACTTCTAGTATTTATATCAATAAAAACAGAAGTTGCTGGAAAAGCTCAGCAGGTCTTGCAGCATCTGTGAGGGAAAAAACAGAGTTAACGTTTTGAGTCCGGTGACCCTTCCTCAGAATTGATGGTAGCTTGGAAAACGTCGGTGTATGTGCAGGAGATAAGGAGGGGGATGGGGTAGGGAGTAGACGATAAGGTAAAGGATAGAGCCCAAGAGAGAGAAGAGCAGTTGGACAGACAAAGGAGTTGCTAACGATCAGGCTGGTTTTTAAGTAAATTAGAGACCTGGGTTAATGTTCTTGGGATGTGGGTTCAAATCCAACCGTTCTAATTTTGTTCAATTAATTACTCACCGTCCTGGACTTGGAAATATATCACCGTTCCTTCAGTGTCGCTGGGTCAAAATCCAGAATAGTTGTTAATGGGGACTATTAGTGACTAACAACAGGGGGTGTGTAGTGGCAGGCTATGTGGTAACAAGGCCTGGTGTGTGGGGCGGGGGGCTGGGACATGGGAGAGTTTAGGCCCTAAAATTATTGAACTCAATTTTGAGTCCGGAGGGCTGTAGGGTCCCCAAGCGGAAAATGAGGTGTTGTTCCTCCAGCTTGCATTGGGCTTCACTGGAACACTGCAGCAAGCCAGAGACAGAGATGTTGGCCAGGGAGCAGGGTGGTGCGTTAAAGTGGGAGGCAACAGGTAGTTCAGGGTCATTTTTGCGAGCAGAACGTAGATGTTCTGCAAAGCGGTCGCCCAGTCTACGCTTCGTTTCCCCAATGTAGAGGAGACCACGTTGTGAGCAGCGAGTACAGTAGACTGTAGCATTTCAGGTTTAACCACACCTTGTCACCAGGTTCTCTCTGACCTGGTGTACAGTCAAATGACTGTGGTGATGTCTCCCGGAATTCTGCAGTAATGACTCTCAGCCGTCCTCTGATTCATGGTAATTCCAGTATTTGTTGCGTAACATTGAAACATTGAGACCAATTACCATCTTAGATCACAACAGTGTGTCTTGCTCAGTTATTTCAGCAATAACTGAAAACCATCCACATTGCTGTGGGTCTGGAGTCACATGTAGGCCAGATTGGGTAAGTACAACAAACTTCCTTTCCTAAAGGACATTTGTGAACCTGATATACATATGTTGCAAGGCAGTAATTTAATCAGAGATAGTAGGAACTGCAGATGCTGAAGAATCTGAGATAACAAGGTGTAGAGCTGGATGAACACAGCAGGCCAAGCAGCATCAGAGGAGCAGGAAGGCTGACGTTTCGGGTCTAGACCCTAATTTAATCAGCACTGTTATCTATGCAACTTCTTTTTTTACTCCAGGTTATTTAATTAATCAAAATGTTCTTATAAAGTTAGGATTTGAAATTACTTTTACAGGTTTAGGGTTAGGCATTACTAGTCCAGTAACATAGTGTAGTGTTAATGTCACCAGGCAAATAAACTAGAGGCAAGAACAGAAGTTGCTGGAAAAGCTCAGCAGGTCTGGCAGCATCTGTGAAGAAAAAATCAGAGTTAACGTTTCGGGTTCGATGACCCTTCCTCAGAATTGGTTTTTAAGTCAATTAGAGACCTGGGTTAATGTTCTTGGGATGTGGGTTCAAATCCAACCGTTCTAATTTGTTCAATTAATTACTCACTGTCCTGGACTTGGAAATATATCACCGGTCCTTCAGTGTCGCTGGGTCAAAATCCAGAAACTCTGTCCCTAACAGCGCTGTAGGGGTAGCTACACCTGATGGACTACAGTGGTTCAACACCACCTTGTCAAGGGCGCAACTGAAGATGGGCAATAAATGCTGGGCCCAGACAGCGACACCCACATCCCACAAAAGGCCGTGAGCCTTTGGATGGAGGAGCTGACCAATTCAAAGAGTGAACTCAAAACGCTGCTGTTATGGGCAAATGTGCAAACCCTTTGCCTTACATGGTCCAAGCAGAGAATGCATGATACTGAATTGTACCTATCGCTAATACTCACAAAGATAAGTTCTATTTTGCTGAAAACCTTCTTAGAAGGTAAATAAAGAGAAAATGGAGGGAATGCATGGGTGGTATTTTAGGAGAAGGATGCATTAATATTGCATCACGATGTTCTTAGATCAAAACTGGGATAAGTTGGGTGGTCAGCCATGATCATACTGATTGGCAGGCTCGAAGGGCCGAATGGCCTACTGCTATGTTTCTACCCAATGGGACTTTAAACAGGTGAGACACGAGAGGGTGGAACAATAACGAAAAGGGGCCTCTGTGTTAGGACAGGAGTCGCAAGAGATTTATTGAGAAAATAATTGTTCGAACAGAGCGACAGGGAATGCAAATGGGCCATAAGTGGAGACTCAAGGCAGAACACTTTGGCCCCTCGAGAGCCAGAGCTAGAGACCAAATGGTGAAAAACCAGATGGACCTAGATGGCTCGGTTCTCAGCTGGCACAGAGACAACAGGCCAAGTGGCCTCATACTGTGCCCATAAATGTTCTGAAACTAAAGGTATAGAAGGTTGACCAGCTGCACTTCGACAGTGAAACGGGATGGAGACTAAGGTATTCAAAGGAGGGGAAATATACCAGACGGGAAGTTTTTTTTTTTTCCGTGTCTTTATTTCAGATTTTCAGCCATTTTAAAAATTTATTTATGGGACATGGGTGTCCCTGGCTGGGCCAACATTTATTGCCCGTCCTTAGTTGCCCCCTTGAGAAGGTGGGGGTGAGCTGCCTTCTTGAACCGCTGCAGTCCATTTGCTGTGGGTTGACCCACAATGCCCTTAGGGAGGGAATTCCAGGATTTTGACCCAGTGACAGTGAAGGAACGGTGATATATTTCCAAGTCAGGATGGTGAGTGGCTCGCAGGGGAACTTGCAGGGGGTGGTGTTCCCATGTGTCTGACGCCCTTGTCCTTCTAGATGGAAGTGGTTGTGGGTTTGGAAGGTGCTGTCTGAGGATATTTGGTGAATTTCTGCAGGGCATTTTGTAGATGGTACACCCTGCTGTGACTGAGCGTCAGTGGGGGAGGGAGTGGATACCTGTCAAGTGAGCTGATTTTCCTGGATGGTGTCAAGCTTCTCAAATCAGAGCCCCTACAGTATGGGAGAGGGCCACTCAGCCCATCACGTCTACAGCAGCCCTCCGAAGAGCATCCCACCAAGACCCCCACGCCCTACCCTGTCCCTGTAACCCTGTGGCCAGTCCACCCTAACCTGCACATCTTCGGGCTGTGGGAGGAAACCCACGCAGACACAGGGAGAATGTGTAAACTCCATAAGGACAGTCGCCCAAGGGTGGAATCGAAGCCAGGTTCCCTGGCACTGAGAGGCAGCAGTGCTAACCACTGAGCCACTGACATGTTGTAAGAGCTGCATCCATTCAGGGCAGTTGGAGAGTATTCCACCACACTCCTGACTTGTGCCTTGTAGATGGTGGGACAGGCTTTGAGAGGGAGATTCAATCATAGGATGTGGCTATGGCTGGTCAAGCCAGTATGTTTTACCCAGAGGGCAGCTAAGAGCTGACCACCTTGCTGTGGGCCTGGAGTCACATGTAGGCCAGAACTGATAAGGATGACAGAGTTCCTCCCTCTAGGACATTAGTGAACCAGATGGGGTCTTTTTTCTTTCCCGACAATCAACAATGGTTTCATGGTCGTCGTTAGACCCTTAACTCCAAATCCTTTCTTGAATTCAGTTTCCACCATCTGCTGTGGCGGGATTTGAACCTGATGCTCCGAATGTGACGGCTTTCTCCCGACTCTTTGCTTTCAGTTGGAGTTTTCAGTGGGACGGGTCCAGATGAACTTTTTACACTTGCTCAGCTCGGAGGCGGTGCAACACATCACCATTCACTGCCTCAATGTGCCAATCTGGACAGATGGGACTTCGAGCAAACCCTTCAAACAGGCCGTCAAGTTCAAAGCCTGGAGCGGGTTGGTGCTGGAGGCAGGAGGACAGCTGGAACCCAAGGTGGTGGTAGACAACTGTCAGGTAAAGACCTTTCTACCCTTCTGGATGGTGCTAGCCGTGGTTTTGCCAGGCATTGGAAGGGCGGTTAAGGAAATATTTTTAAGGTGAAACGAGAAAGACTAAGGGGAAACTTTTCCATGCAGAGGATGGTTCGCATGTGGAAATGAGCTGCCAGAGGAAGCGGCAGATGCAGGTACGGTTACTACATTTAAAAGACATTTGGACAGGTACATGGAAAGAAAAGGTTTAGAGGGATATGGGCCAAATGCAGGCAACTGGGACTTGTTTAGTTTGGGAAACTTGGCCAGCATGGAGGAGTTGGACCAAACGGTCTGTTTCTGTGCTGTATGCCTCTGTGACTGTATGACTAGGGGGATAAAGCTTGAAGGGGGGAAATGGAGTAGATCGCAGAATTGTTACAGCACAGAGGAGACCACTCAGCCCATTGTGCCAGCACCTGTCCTTGAAAAGTGCCAACCTCCTGTTTTCTCCCCGTACCCTAGCTCATTATTTCCGTCCAAATAACCATCCAGTGTCCCTCTTGAGCTGAACCTGCCTCCACTACGTTTCAAGGCCGTGCATTCCAGACCCAAACAACTCGCAGAGTGAAAGGAATGGGGCACCATACAAAGAGCTGGATGCACTCAAAGGGCCAAATTCCCTTCTTCTGTGTGGTAAATGCCCTGATGATTCCAAGTACAGACCCATTGAGATAATTCAAAGAGTTCTTTTTTGGTCCTCACATTTTCCACTCTGGAAACACTCAGTGGGCCAAGGGATTCACAGCCAGAGCAAGTGTTAACATTCCCGACAGCCAGTGAGCTTTCCATTGGAGCTGGGAGAAGTTGGGGATATAGAGTCATAGACCCGTACAGCACGGAAGCAGGCTCTTCAGCCCAACTCATCCCTGCTGACCAGATATCCTGAGTTAATCTAGTCCCTTTGCCAGCATTTGGCCCATATCTCTTCCTGCTCATGTACCCTCCAGAGATAGTAGGAACTACAGATGCTGGAGAATCTGAGATAACAAGGTGTAGAGCTGGATGAACACAGCAGGCCAAGCAGCATCAGAGGAGCAGGAAGGCTGACGTTGGGGCCCATTTCTGAAGAAGGGTCTAGGCCCAAAACATCAGCTTTCCTGCTCCTCTGATGCTGCTTGGTCTGCTGTGTTCATCCAGCTCTACACCTTGTTATCTCATGTACCCATCCAGATGCCTTTTAAATGTTGTAAATGTACCAGCCTCCACCACTTCCTCTGGCAGCTCATTCCATACACACACCACCCTCTGCGTGAAAAAGGTACACCCTCAAGTGCTTTTAAATCTTTCCCCTCTCACCTTAAACCCAAGCCCTGTAGTTTTGGACTCCCCCCACCCTGGAGTAAAGACTTGACTATTCACCCTATCCCTGCCCCTCATGATTTTATAAACCTCTATAAGGTCACCCCTCAGCCTCCGGCACTCCAGAGAAAATAGCCCCAGCCTATGTAGACCCTCCCTAAAGCTCAAACCCTCCAACCCTGGCAACATCCTTGTAAATCTGTTCTGCACCCTGTCAAGTTTCACGATACCATGACAACTGTCAAACAAGTGCAGGGGCCGGGAAAAGTGGAAAGCACAAAGTGGGAAGGTCGATGGATGGGGAGCAAGGCCGCACCAGCTCAATGGCAACAGAGAAGAAAGCTTAAAAACAACTTTACTTTTGTACAGCCCCTTTTAGCCTTGAAACATTTCAAGGTGCTTCACAAGGACAGCATTGTGTCCCAATTTAACACTGATCCACCTATAAAGACATTAGAGCTGTTGACCAGAAGCTGAGTCAAAGAGGTAATTTTTTTTAAGGAACAGTGTGGAAGCAGGCCATTCAGCCCATCAAGTCCACACCAACCCTCCGAAGAGCATCCCACCCAGACTGACCTCTTACCCTATCTCTATTTCCTATGGCTAACCCACTAGCCTGCATAATCTCCCACGGCCAATCCACCCTAACATGCATGTCTTTGGACTGTGGGAGGAAACCGGAGCACCCGGAGGAAACCCACGCAGACATGGGGAAAATGTGCAAACTCCACACAGAGAGTCGCCTGAGGGTTGAATCAAACCCGGGTCCCTGGCACCGTGAGGCAGCAGTTCTAACCACTGAGCCATCATGCTGCCCCTTGTCACATTAGGGACAAGAAGAGGGGGTGGGAGAGATTGAAGTGCATTTTTTAAATTTACGCAAGCACGCGGCTTTTTATCGCAGCTATAAATAAACCACGATGACAGCTTTTGCTTCCGTCGGTGTTGCCTTTCAGATCAAAGATGGACGATGGCACCAGACGCACTTCCTGTTTCACACCCAGGATCCCAACCAGTTGCCAATAGTTGGTATTTATAACTTACCACAACCAAAACCTGGACTACATTACCACCTTGAGGTTGGGCCTGTCTGCTTTCTCTGAGATAGACCATCTTTAACCCACATCAGAGCGTAGTTATCCTTTACTGTGTATTCAAATAAAACTCAAGGAGTTGCTGACATGATGTGTGAAATATCACATTACCCATCAGAGAAGGCTGCCCAATGGCTTTTTTAAAACAGAAAAAAAAACTATAAAGAAACATAAAGAGGACCTGTTTCCTGGGGGAGAGTTTAGCCTAAAGCAACTAGAATTGAAGATTTTCACCCTAAAGCCCGAGAGTGTGTAGGCTGTTATATTTGGAGGAATGGGTCTAACTGGGCTGCGGAAGATCCATTTTAAAGAGAGAGAGAGAGAGAGGGAGAGGTGGGGGGGATTAAAAAAAAACAAAATTGATTTGTAGTGGCTTAGCCAGCATTCTGTTCAGCAGTCCCAAAGTTCTGGGATACTCAGAAAAGTTGATTGCATGTAGTCGATATAGCTGGTGACCTGCATTGCCTACTAAGCAATCTCCAAAGTGCAATAGTGAAGGGAGAAAATAGAGGAACTATCAAGAGTCGTTGAAATTCCCTAAATCTGTGACACTTCATTCGAGGTGTGAACTGATTCCAATGTTTTGCTCTCAGCCACCAAACGCCTGAACTAATTGGTCAGACCCAGGCATGGGGTAACCAAGTGATAAAGGACATTATGTCCGATGTTCTAGTGATTTTGACATGGTGCTAGTGGAATGAACTTCGTGGGGTGATTTTTTTCTACCTCTCATTGTCTGGAATTGGTGCTCACATTCTTGTGTTTTATTGTCGTTATTCACATGTCGTTTTCGAATCACTGGTGCTATGTAATTACCACGGGGTGGGGGGGGGGGGATGTCCAGGGTTGGGGGAAAAGAGGGTGTGAATGGGAGGGTCAATGTTTAGAGAGGGTGGTCCCCCTCCCACTGACACCTGAAAAGGAAAACTAAAATGCAACAATAATTGTTAACATAATTGATATCTAGAGTTCCTTTAATATTTGAAGAGATTATTTAATTGTGCTGCAGAGAGGTTCCAAACCCTACTGTTCCTGAGCGACCAATATTTTCTTTCTCTAAAAGGAAATGGAAGGAAGGGAATTGAGAAAATCGCTGAGAGTTTTTTTGCTGTTTTGTCGTTTGTTATCTTTGTTTTACTCTATCCTGAACGCTTTTGTACAAAGTTGCCCCGAAAGCTGTAATTAATATTTAGAGAAGCTTTTAATAATTAAAGAAACCGGAGTCTTTCCTGAAACGAAGATAGATTTTGTTTTCATCTATCTCGGCGCATTGTGTACAATGTTTCTGTTGTATGCAGTGTGTCAGTATTTTACAATCTGCTATTTAATGTTATTTAAGTATTTTTAAAACTTTGGTTAAAGGAGGAACCAATTGCCTGGTCCCAATCACAGATGTCTATGTTTTGAAATAGACTGGTCCTTTGTGTGTAGCAGGTGTAAAGAAGTTGCTTCAACACCCAACTGGTTTTGGAGAATAATGCGGAGTTTCTTTCTGTTTATGCTTGTCTATTGTGTAAATTTGGTGCGTTGAAGAGAATATTTCAGTGTTTGAAATCTATAAGATATTATGCAGAGTCTAAATGTACTGTTTAGGAAAATGCTTTAAGCGCTTTTTAATTCTTGAATTTTTTTTTACTTTGAAGGAAATATGTGAAAAATCTAGAATTCTAATACATTATTTTAAATTTATTTCATTTTTTAAACAAAAATCTAAGAATGCAGTTGAAAAAAGCCAGCCATCAGAATACCTCATACATTTTGGTTCCATTCTGAATACATTTCAGCTTTGTTTATTTTTATTTTCTTTTTGTTTAAAGTTTTTTTTTACTTCATTTTTGGATATTTTCCATCTATTCCATTCGCTTTGTTTTCTCTGTGTGTGTCTGTTGCTATAGAAACAGAGTCGCCATAAAATGGCCATCCGCAGACGTCAGTATCATTATTGCCTTTAGTCAGAGGGGTTTAAATGTTCTGTGCAGAGTTCACTATTTAGCTGTGAATTATCTTACTCAGCCTTTGCTAGCCTTGACGGGGCTAAGACTCTTCCATTGTTTGAAATTAAAAGTTTCTGAAATGTTACTGAAATAAATATTTCGAACTGAAGCAACAAAACCTGGCCTGGACGTTTTGTGCGTTATTCAAGAAGCATGCAAACATCAGAAATGGGAGAGGGTCAGTTAGCTCCCCGGGTTACCAGGAGAATTGGGGTTGGAGAAACATATCAATGATGCTCGCAATGGCAGAGCAGACACAATGGGCTGAATGGCCTGATTCTGCTCCCGTATCTTATGGTCACAACCGTCAACAAGATCATGGCTGATCTACCCCAGGCCTCGACTCATTTTTCATGTCAGCTGATCATAGCCCTCACCACCTCAATATGTCAAAAATCGATCTACCTCCTAGAGTCATAGAGATATACAACATGGAAACAAACCCTTTGGTCCAACTCCTCCCTGCCGATCGGATATTCTGAATTAATCTAGTCATAATTGCCAACATTTTGCCCATATCCCTCTAAACCTATCCTATTCATGTACCCATCTAGATGCCTTTTAAATGTTGTAATTGTACCAGCCTCCACCACTTCCTCTGGCAGCTCATTCCATACAGGCATCACCCTCTGCATGAAAATGTTGCCCCTCAGGTCCCTTTTATATCTTTCCCCTCTCACCTTAAACCTATGCCCCTCAGTTTTGGACATCCCTACCCTTGGCTGTTCACTCTATCCGTGCCTCTCATGAGCTTATGGTCACCCCTCAGCCTCTGACACTGCAGGGAAAAATGCCCCAGCCTTTTCAGCCCCTCCCTGTAGCTCAAACCCTCTAACACTGGCAACATCCTTGTAAATCTTTTCTGAACCCCTTCAAGTTTCACTATCTTTCTTCAAACGCATCTAGCCTCTCTAACTCTCTGAGCTGGAAAATTCAAGATATTCACTAACGACTGGCAGAATAAATTCCTTCCTCCCTCAGTTTTAAATGAGAGACCCCCTATTCTGTAATGATGCCCCTTCGCCCAGGACTCCCCCATGTATGGAAACGCTGTCTCAACACCTACCCTGTCACTCGTTTGAAATAGCAGAGCCGTACATTTTAAACGCATCACCAGATTTTTACACTTTGGAACTTTTTTTCATTCTTCACTCATGAAATGTGGTGTTACTGGCTGGGTCAGCATTTGTTGTTAGAGGGTAGTTAAGAGTTAACCACATCACTGGGAGTCTGGAGTCACATGTAGGCCAAGCCAGGTAAGGATGGCACATTTCCCTGCCTGAAGAGCCAGATCAGCACCCCAGTTAAAAACAGAAGTTGTTTCTCGCAGGAATTTTCCAAAATCCACGCAGAAAGAAAATTCTCAGCGCTTTCCAATTGGCAAACCTTCCTCATCAGCAGTTTTAAACCTTCACAATGACCTGAACAATTATAGATCAGAAGTTACATGATGCCAGGTTATAGTCCAACAGGTTTATTTGAAATCACGAGCTTTCAGAGCAGGTGTCACGTGACTTCTGACCTTATCCACCCCAGGCCAGTTTTTTTCCCTGGAGCGTCGGAAGCTGAGGGGTGACCTTATAGAGGTTTATAAAATCATGTGGGCCATGGATAGGGTGAATGGCAGGTGTCTTTCCCCGAGGGTGGAGGAGTTGAAGACTGTGGGGCATGTTTTTAAGATGAGAAGAGAAAGATTTTAAGAAGACAAGGGGCAATTTGTTTTTTAACACGGAGAGTGACTCGTGTGTGGAATGAACTTCCAAAGGAAGTGGGTGGACGCGGGTACATTTACAATGTCTAAAAGGACATTTAGATAGGTACATGCAGAAGAATGGTTTGGAGGGATATGGGCCAAGCTCAGGCAGGTGGGACTAGTTTAGTTTGGGATTATGGTCAGCATAGACTGGTTGGACCGAAGGGTCAGCTGTATGACCCTATGACTCGTAACTCCATAACAGTCAAGAAGCTCAATTCCATCCAAGACAAAGCAGCCAATATACACTCCCTCCACCACTAACATGCAGTGATAGCACTGCATTCCTCTACGTGACGCACTGCAACAATTCGTCAAACCTCCTCCATCTTTATCTTTCCAATCAGCAGCATCTACTGTTCAAAATCACAGGGACAACGGGAACATCACCATCTGCAGGTTCCCCTACATGCTACATCATCCTGACTTGGAAATATATTGCCAGTCCTTCAGTGGGTCAAAATCCTGGAATTCCCTACCTCAACCCACTGAACTGCAGTAGCTCAAGATGACAGATCACCGTACTTTACAGGCTATCCCCACTTCGGATTTTGTTTTAGTCATTCACAGGACGAGGACATTGCTCTTTCCTAAGAGTCTGTGTTGTGGGTCTGGAGTCACACGTAGGTAAGGATGGCACTTTCCTGAAGGACATTAGTGAACCCAGATGGTATTTTTATTCCAACAACTGACCGTGGTTTTAATATCAGTAAATTCTTAATTCCAGATTTTGTTAGAAAACTAGAATTCAAACCCCACCATGTGTTTTGAACCCAGGTCCCCAGAACATTACCTGAGACACTGGATTCACAGTTCAGTGATAATATCACTAGGTTGTCTTCCCTCACCATACTATGCAAGCTATCCCCACTTCAGATTGCTGTGTTAGAATCATAGAATCCCTACAGCGTGCGAATCAAGTCCACACTGATCTTCCAAAGAGCATCCCAGCCAGATGGAGTCCCAATTCTATCCCCGTAACCCTACATTTCCCGTGGCAAACCCACCCATCTTTGGACTGTGGGAGGAAACCGGAGCACCTGGAGGAAACCCACACAGACACAGGGAGAATGTGCAAACTCCGTACAGACAGTCGCCCAAGGCTGGAATCGAACCCGGATCCCTGGCACTGTGAGGCAGCAGTGCTAACCACTGAGCCACCCAATATCTGCCACAGTAGAAATTCACCAAAGATCCTCAGATAGCACCTTCCAAACCCACTTCCATCCAGAAGGACAAGGGACAGCAGATACACAGGAACACCACCCCCTCCAAGTTCCCCTCCAAGCCACTCACCATCCTGACTTGGAAATATATCGCCGTTCCTTCAGTGTCGCTGGGTCAAAATCCTGGAATTCCCTCCCTAATGGCATTGTGGGTCAACCCACAGCAGGAGGAATGCAACGGTTCAAGAAGGCAGCTCACCACCACCTCCTCAAGGGGCAACTAGGGACGGGCAAGAAATCCTGGGCCCAGCCAGCGACGCCCACATCCCACAAATGAATAGGGAAAAAGGTAAATTGTTACCTGGTCTGGCCTATATGTGACTCCAGACACACAGCAATGTGGTTGTCTCATAACTGCCTTCTGGGCAATTAGGGATGGGGCAATAAATACTGGGCTAGACAGAGACACCCGCATCGTGTTGATGAAGGGAAATAAACACAAGTTACAAATCGGAGATAGTAAGAACTGCCGATGCTGGAGTCAGAGATAACAAGGTGTGGAGCTGGAGGAACAGGAAAGTTGACGTTTTGGGTCTGGACCCTTCTTCAGAAATGGGGAAGGGAGCTGAGAAATAAACAGAGAGAGGAGGGGTGAGATGGTGATAGGTGAGTTGTTTTCATGGAAATAGCATTAAAACAAAAAGTTTGACAATGAGGATGAGATCAGGTTAAAGATTAAAAGCTCAATCAATGATCTATTGTTGAAGGAGTTTCTGAAAAGAGGAAAGTGAGGGAGAGAGGGTTGTAGAGGAGACTGCAGAGCTAGGGAAGGGGGTGAGGACACAGAGGGAACTGAAAACATCAATGAGAATTGTTTTTCAATCACTTGGAGCAGATATAGTTCAGAGCACAGGTGTGATAAGGAACAGGGAACTGGTGCAAGTTAATGTCGACCAAAGTACAACATTAAATTGTCTACGTAAAAATACAACCTGTCCTCAGAAAGTAATAAGGAGCAGCGATCTCACAGTAAGTTCCTCCAGTCAGTGCTGAAACTACCCTATTATAGGACTGTGCTTGATGGAGACAGAGTGTAACAGCTAATTATCACAAACTTTCTTCCACATCCACACTCAATAAGATGTTTTCAGGGTGAATTTCCTTCAGGGTGATTGTGTCACATTTCAAATCAAACATCAGGATATTGACAGTTGGAACTGGCCACGTTGTGTGACCCATTGATGACAGAACGAAGCGGCCAGGCAAGTTTGAGGTGACCCCTCAGAGTGGGCGCAATGCCTCACGTTCTGGGCCCTCAGAGGGAGCACATTGTCTGGGAGCCTTGTGTCAGAATATCTCCCCATCGCAATCCCGCACACAGACAGAGGCTGACCAACAGTGGGTAAACACCCGGCACTGGGTAAACACCCGGCACTGGGCAAACACCGGGCACTGGGTAAATACCCAGCACTGGATAAACACCCGACACTGGGTAAATACCCGACTCTGGGTAAACACCCGGTACTGGGTAAATACCCGGCACTGGGTAAACACCCAGCACTGGGTAAACACCCGACTCTGGGTAAACACCCGGTACTGGATAAACACCGACACTGGATAAACACCCAGCACTGGGTAAACCCAGGCTCTGGGTAATCACCTGGCACTGGGTAATCACCTGGCTGTGGGTAAATACCCGGCACTGGGTAAACACCCAGCACTGGGTAAATACCCGGCACTGGGTAAACACCCGGCACTGGGTAAATACCCGGCACTGGGTAAATACCCGGCACTGGGTAAACACTGGGCACTGGGTAATCACCTGGCACTGGGTAAACACCCGTCACTGGATAAACCCCCGTCACTGGATAAACCCCCGACTCTGGGTAAACACCCGGCACTGGGTAAATACCCAGCACTGGGTAAATACCCAGCACTGGGTAAAAACTGGAAGCCAATCAGCACAGGTTCCATACCCAGCACTGGCCACCCACTCAGAAATGCTGTTTGATCAGACTCCATTTGGGGCTGACGGACACAGTCTAATCACTGGCACACTCTGAGAGGGATTATACACAAAACTACCAGAAGGTGCGAATGTCACTGGGTGTGTAATCCAGAGTTTCGGGTGGATGCTCCAGAGACATGGTTCAGATCCCCAGTCAGCGGCTGGTACAGGTTAAAGCCAGTTCCTACAGA